GCGAAGCGTGCGGGGACAGCTGAGCAAGCCGTGGTCCAGGGCGGTCTGCAGCAAAGATGGGGAGGGAGAAGAGGTTTTTGGGGAGGCTGTGGACCTCAAGGAGAGGGCAGAGCCGATGCCAAGGTGAGCCCTGCTCCCTCCGTGCCCACGGCTCCTGGAAAAGGGGTGGCTCAGACAGACCCAAACGGACGAGACGCGTCCCTTGTGCGCTCAATGCCCACCCCGGGCTGACCTACCTCCAGCACGAAGGCAGCGAAGAAGTTGAGGGCAGCGATCCCCAGCAGCAGCAGCTTGAAATTCAAGTCATCGATGCCCTGCAGCTTCAGCAGGGTTTTGGGGAAGCCCAGCGGGTAGAGGGTCAACCAGATCATGAGGCCAAAAAGGAGGATGAGGACTACCAAGAATAGCACTGAGGGCGAGAAGGAAGAGAGTTGAGGAGGAGAAGGAAGGTTTGACGTCTCTCTTCATCCACGTTGCCAGCACCATCCTCACCGTTGGTGTAGAGCGGCTCCCGAAACGGGTACCCCTTGGACATGGCGACGGCCAGGATGAGGTACTGGAAGCCCGTGACACAGAAGAGGACCGTGTTCTCATAGTTGGGCAGGTTTTGGGGAGCCGTCACCGTGCTGTTCAGCGGCACGTACCTAAGCCAGGCCGGGGAGAAGGCAGAGGGTCAGAGGCAAGGAGAGGGTCTGAACGCCGACCCCTTGTTCTCCACGAGCCCACGGGAGCCGTTCGCTGCAAGGTGGCTGGACGCATCCTTGATGCCAGCGGGCGCTGGCCAAAACCAAGGACCAGCACCCGGGCTCTGTTGCAATCCTCGTCGCCGTTCCCACCCCTAAAGCCGGGTCCCTTACCAGCTCTGCGAGACGGTGATGAAGTAGCTGAGGACTTGCACGGTGATGAGCAAAGCCGTTTGGAGCAGCAGGCTGCCCAGCACGAGGACGCTGATCAACGCCCCTTGGGGACGCTCCACTCCCAGCTCCTGGGCAGGACCGGTCCGACCCATCAGCACCGCCACGGTGGTGGTGATGATCAGGTCGAAGAAGAGGAACTGGAAATCGCTCAGGTTGGTGTTGATCTGGGAAGGAGAAACCACCCGCTCTCAGCGTGGGACTAAGAAAGGGACAGGTTAAAAGGGACAAGGTGACCCAAAGGCATCCCTGAGCATCGGGCAACGGCGGGACTCACCGTGTAGAGCAGCAGGACGGACACGAACTGCACCAGGCTGTACAGGGCCATGTACTTGAAGACGCCGAAGGAGGTGACCAGTGAGCACCTGCCCTCCCTGCGGAGGGAAAAGAGAGATTTACCCACCCGCCACAACACCCTTTCCATGAGCTGTCCCAAAGAGGGGACGGAGGCACTCAGGAGACCCCCCCCTTGGTTTTTGTTCGCCTCCCACAC